TGATCAGTTATTTCTTATCGGCAGCAACTGGCTGACACTTTCCCTCTTAAATCCAACAGAAGCAGAAAAGACGGACCCAGCTCTTTCATTTTGACTTCATTTGGGTTAAATAAATAATGATAAATGGAATCTGTTGTGTTGTTTGTGCACATCAGGTTAGTTTGGAATAATTTTAGAATCTGGTGAAAGCCACATTATTTTTATTCAGTCCTGCTATGAAAAAAACTAAAAAATTAAAGGTGTTTTCTTTTTCTCATTACAGTCAACAGACTATTAAACAGAAATCTACAGCAACAGTCCAGACAAGCAGAGGCCTTGTACAAAGTTTGACCTAGATTTGTGATCTTGATTTTGGAACTGTGGTGATAGAAAACGTATGTGACACTCCCATCTAGTGATGACGGATATGTATATGAATTATGTTAAATGATCTTAAATAAGAAGTTCTGGACGAGAAAGGGGAAAGTTTACAGATAAAGAGTCTTCCTTTATGTCTGCCTTCGACATGCATTTGACAAGGAATACACACAAAATTATTAAAACAATGTCTGTTAGGATGAAAATGGCTGGACAGATTCCTGTCAGGGACAAGACAGATAAGGGTGCATATTGTTAAGGTACAACCCACAAAAGTAATTGAAGAAATAAATACGTATTTACAAGAGCCAAGGACAGCATTTGCACAGGAATGAAAAGCAAACTCACAGTAAATTTTGTTAAACACCATTTTGTCAGGATGTTCAGACTGAGCTGAGCAGGAACTAACCCATTGGTGCAGGCAGGACTCAGAGGCCATGATGTAAAATAATAAACACTTTAATGATCAAAATACTGACGTGGCAGTATAAACTTACAGCATAGAGGTCAGGGTAAATACGGGGAACGTGGGAGGAGTACCAGACGACGCACCGACAAAGACTGAGACAGAGACCAGGGCTTATACCTGTATACACAGACTAGACAAGACAAATTACAAACACCTGGAGGACTCACGGGTGGAACTGATCAGGGTAATTAATGAGAAACACTAGGGAGTACAGACACAGAGAGACTGACAGGGGCATACCATCCTTACAGTACCCTCCCCCAAAGGACATCCCATTGTGTCCCAAAAAGGGTCCACCCCAAAAGACTTGGGCGGAAGGAGGGAGGTGGTGGGAGGAGGGAGGTACCACAAGGATGGAGGGCACAAGGAACACATGAGGGCAAAACAAATCCAGCAGGACAAGAGCCTAGGATCTAAACTAAACAAAACTAGAAAACACAAAGAATGTCTGGACGGTCAGGAGACCATTCATAGGCTGACTGAAGTTCAGATGGGTGGCTGGGAGGCCATCCAAAATGCTGGAGCAAGTCCGGCGGGCAGCCAGGAGACCGTTCAACAAGCCGGAGCAAGTCTGGCGGGCGGTCGGGAGGCTGTCCATGGCTCTGGAGCAGGTCAGGAGGGTGTCCGGGAGGTCGTTCAACGCTCTGGAACATGTCAGGCAGGCGGCCGGGAGGCTGTCCAACAAGCCGGAGCAGACCAAGTGGGCAGCCAGGAGGCCGTCCAGTGAGCCGGAGCAGGTCAGATAGGTGACCGGGAGGTCGTCTGACCTTGGGCCAAAGTTCAGGTGGCCGGCCAGGTGACTGTTCAATGGGCCGGAGCAGGTCAGGTGGGGGACCAATAGTGACGGACACCCTAAGGACCCATGAGCACCCAGCACGGGAAGTGAGGAGTGGAAGAAACATAGGGTCTGTAGCAGTTTCAGGTTCTTCAGCAGCAGGAGCTTCTGCGGCAGGATCAGGAGCAGACGTGGAACTCGGAGTCGTGGAAATTGTAGACATGGAACTCTCGGATGACATGGGGTCCACAGGCTGAGGCATGGAGCCTAGATGAGTCATGGATCCGAGGCAAGGTGAAGACTCAAGATGTGCCAGACGTGGATACTTCAAGCAGCTTGGGGACCTTGAGCGGCGTGGAGCCCTGAAGTGGCATGGAACCCTCGAGTGGTGTGGAACTCTCGAGCGGCTTGGACCCAGGCAAAGTAAGGACCCGCGCTGTGCCAGACGTGGAGACCTCGAGCGGCATGGATCCAGGCGTGCAGTTGGTGTAGGACCATCTGGAGGCACAGCTGGCGTAGGACCCTCTGGATGAGACGTGGGACCCCCTGGACAAGACATGGGAACCTCTGTGGACTCTGTGGATATTGGAGCATTGGCAGACCTGGGACCTTTTGCAGATGTCGAGGCATCGGCAGACCAGGGGCCCTCTGCAGACGTCGAGGCATTGGTGGACCTGGGACCCTCTGCAGACATCAAGGTGTCAGCAGACCTGGGACCCTCTGCAGACGTCGAGGCATCGGCAGATCTGGGACCCTCTGCGGATGTCGAGGTGTCGGTGGACATGGGACCCTCTGCAGAAGTCGAGGCGTTGGCGGACCTGGGACCCTCTGCGAACGTTGAGGCGTCGGCGGACCCTCTGTGGACGTCAAGGCGTCGGCGGACCTGGGACCCTCTGCGGACATCGAGACCTCTGTTGCTGAGGTAGAGTCTTCGACGGCAAGGTCTTCGGGAGCGAGGACCTCAGGTCTTGGTGCTGAGTCAGGCACTAGAGCAGGGGCCGAGTCAGGTGCTGGAGCAGGGGCAGAGTCTCTGGAACCTTTCTGCCATCAACCTCTCCTGTGGTGGCGACAGTGTGGTTCAGGGTCAGGATCGGGCCAGAGCTCCTCTTTGTGCTCAGGGCCTCCTTCAGAAATTGACTCTGCAGCAGGGGGGCCAGGGACTTGTTCCACAGCTGGGGGGCCAGGTACTGGATCAGAAGCAGTGACATCTTGCTCAGCAGAAGGGAAGTCTGGGTCTGGGGCAGAGTCTGGTTCTGGGCCAGAGTCAGAGACAGGAGGGTCTGGATCTGAGACTGGGACATAATTGGAAGCAGGGATGTCAGAGGCTGGTGGAGATGAGTCAGAGTTAGGCTGTGTTTTCAAAGTTCTTATTTCAATTAAAAGCTGCTGATATTCTGGGATTTGTGTCAGAATGGGTTGAGATAATAATAGTTTTTCGGCAAGGGAGAGCAATGTCAAGGCATTCTGGGTTGGGTTTAGCAGAGGAGTGTAGATTTTGTAAAGTCCGGTTTATTTGGGTGAGGTCACTGCATTGGAGCTGAGGTGTGTTGGTTCCAGTCTTTAATGAAGCTCAGTGAGGGGGTGAGGTGTCGAGTTCTGCCCTCACTGGAACCCTGGGAGGTGAGGCGACGGGACCTGCCCCCGCGGAGACACTGGGACTAGACTCAGGAGACTCAGTCTGACTGGACCGAGCAGGAGCGGCTCCGAGTAACAGTGAGGTGTTGGCCTCCACCCTTACTGGAACCCCTGGATGTGCGGCAATAGGACCCGTCCCCACTGAAGCGCTGTGACCGCATCCAGGAAAATAATAAGCTGACGTGGCAGCATAAATTTACAGCATAGAGATCAGGGCAAACATGGAGAACACGGGAGGAGAACCAGACGATGGACCAACAAAGACTGAGGGTGCATTCACACCAGCCCTGTTATCCCGAACTCTAGCCCGTTTGCCTAGGAAGTCTGGTTCATTTAGGGAGGTGTGAACTTGCCATTGAACTTTGTCACGGAACAAAAAGGCGAACTGTGGCCCGGTCAAAAACCTAGGTCTCGGTCCGGGAGAAGAAACCTCGAGCACGGTTCGAGTACAGTGTGAATGTAAGGTTGCATTCACACCAGCTCTGTTTAGTCCTCTTTAATCGAGCTCTAGCTTGTTTTCCTAGAAAGTCCGGTTAGTTTGGGGAGGTGTGAACGCGCCATCGAACTCTGGCCCGGGCTAAAACCTAGGTCTCTGTCCAGTAGAAGAGAACTCCAGCGCGCTTCGAGTACAGTGTGAATGTAAACAGACCGGGCCCAGCTCCACAAGCAAGAAGTGGAGTACAACGCAGGGCAAACAAACACGCATTTCTCTTACCTTATATGGAGCTGTCAGCTGTCTTGTGTGAAAAACAATATTCTCCATGGTCTTCTGCCTCATCTTCTGCTCATGTTGAGTCCATTGTTGAAAAACGACAAAATATAACTCCTAAAATTGCTAAAACTTGATGCCACTCCGTTTTTGTTTTTAATTTCCAAAAGAAGAAGTATCTTCAGAGGTTTTTGTGTTGTTTCTTTCAGTAGTTCTTGGTGTAGCACCCCCACAGGCGAGCGGGGGAATAGGTTGGTTCAACAGGTTGGCTCGACTGCACAGTGCAGTGTGAATGCAAATGCACCAGCTCAAATGTAAACAAAATGTCATGAATATTGGTCCCCAACCAAACCGAGTCTACCGGACTATCAGGTGTGAATGCATCCTAAGCAGAGCGGGCACCGCTCCGCAAGCAGGAAAAGGACTACAACACAAGGCAAACAAACACGCATTTCTCTTACCTCGTATGGAGCTGTCAGCTTGCCTTGTGTGAAAAACAACATTCTCCATGGTCTTCTGCCTCATCTTCGACTCATGCTGAGTCCATTGTTGAAAAATGACAAAATAGAATTCCTAAAACCGCTCAAATTTAACTCCACTCCGTTTTTGTTTTTATTTCCAGAAGAAGAAGAAGTGTCGTCTTTAGAGATTTTTGTGTCGTTTCTTTCAGTAGTTCTTGGTGCAGCACCACCACAAGTAAGTGGGGGAACAGGTCGGTTCGAACAGGTTGGCTCAACTGCACAGTGTAGTGTGAATGCAAACGCACCAGCTCAAATGTAAACAAAATGTTATGAATATTGGTCCCCAACCGGACCGAGTCTACTGAACTATCAGGTGTGAAAACAACTTGAGACACAGACCAGGGCTTACATACAAAGACTAAACAAGACAATTTACAAACACCTAGAGAACACGCAGGTGGAACTGATCAGGGTAATTAATGAGAGACACTAGGGAGTACAGACACAAGGAGACTGACGGGGGATACCATCCTTGCACATTTGTTGTGCTGAAGTGGCCTAATTCTTAATGCTAATGGATAAGAGTGAGTGTACCAGTATTTCCTCAGTGGGTTTGGTGATGGTTGGTAGAAACTGCACATTAGCCTTAGAGATGGCTCCACTGTTGTTGGTTCGCTGGTTAGTTGCTCTGATCCAGTTCTCATCAGGGGCCTGTTTCCCGTTTTTGTCCACCAGTAGCAGGTCGCCTCGTTTACAGATCAGGAACATGGGGTCATCTGTGGATGCAGACCAAGGTAGGTGGTTAGAAAGGTAGCCATTTTAGTGTAAACGTGATCACCACCAGCTGACTCTCACCCTGTTTACTGACGTCCTGCTGAACCACGGCGTACTCCGAGCGCCGTCTGAGCCCCTCCACATTGTGCTCCATCACCTCAGTCATGTCGGCAGCTTCCACACACTTCAGCATGTACTCTCCTTTGATTGTGGTCAGAGACATGGACTGGTGGCTGTCGCTAAACAGACATAAGAGGTTTAGGTCTTTTTAGGAACACCATTAAAATGTTTCAGAAGTGTGGAGATTAAAAATAATCATTTGTACCTCATCATGTTGACTTTCTTCACCTCGATGTAAGGAATGTCAAGGAGTCTCTTCTCTTTTCTCTCCATGAAGACAAAGCCGGAGCTGTTAATAGCCACAATAAACCTGCTTTTGGGCAAAGAGGGTCCTGCAGATAAATAAAAACAATTCCAATTAATTTAAGCAGTTCAAAGTGGATTGAAAATCTCCTGATGGAAGAGATGACATCACACCCCAAGAACAAAATCATCTGAACTGACCTGCCATCATTGTAACTTGATAAAACTTTGAAAATTCCAGAGGCCATCTCTTCCGTGCAATGTCCACCAGCTCTCCCTTCACCTGCTCTGCAGTCGAATTCCCATTTACATATGTCTTCTGCAAGAACAAGTCCTTCTGCTTCAGCCTGATCACAATATGCTAAAACTCTTCCACTAAAAAACAACTGGATCATCTGTAGGTACACTGTTTCTAACACACTTAGCTGTTTGTTCTGTCTTCTACCTGTGAGAGAGCTGAGGTGATGAGTTGGACCCATATGAGCATGGATTTGTTCTCAATGCGTGTGGTGGTGATGCACTCTTGAACCACCTGCTTGACGTCATCTCCGCGGGGTTCCGAACCAAACTGAATATAATAATGCATGGCAGCCAGCTGGATGTATTCATCCTCCTGAAAGGTGCAGAATGCAGCTATTAGAAAGTACATTTCACTTATCGATGCAAAAAAAAAAAAAAAAAATATATATATATATATATATATATATATATATATATATATATATATATATATATATATAAATATATAATTTTAAATAAACAACAGATTCAAACATTTTTACATAAAGTTAAATTAAATCCAGAAAGACCAGCTGCTGACATGATCAAGAAGGACCATCGGCCTAACAATGGATCATTAGCACACTGATGGCTGTTTACTATTCACAGAGGGCTGAGTGATACTAGCAATAACAGCATTGTAAGAGGGGGACAATTGAACATGTAGGCCTCCACCCCTGTTTAATGATGGACAATGTCTGAAAAGAAACAAAGATGGCCTCCTTTACTCCTCTCTCAAACCATCGTTCCTCTCTATCCAGGATGTGAACATCTTAATCCCTGAAAGAGTGACCGCTGGCCTGGAGATGAGTGTAGACCACAGAGTCCTGGCTTGATGATGTTGCTCTTCTGTGCTGGGCCATCCTTTGGGCCAGTGACTGTTTAGTTTCCCAGATGTAAGACTGATCACAGCCCTCCTGACACTGAACAGCATACACAACATTACTCTGTTTGTGCCGGGGGACTGGATCTTTGGGATGAACCAGTCTTTGCCGTAATGTATTTTGGGGTTTAAAAGCCACTGGGACGTTGTGTTTAGAAAATAAACGTCTCAGTTTTTCTGATACTCCCGCAACATACGGAATGACCACTGGTCTAGGTTCCTCCTTTTCACCTGATGGCTGACTGGAGTCCTGTTTGGGTTTCTTCTCTGCTTTCAGGAAGGCCCAGTTAGGATATCCACATTGCTCTAGAGCCTGTCCTATGTGGGATTTCTCCTTCTGCCTGACTCCTGAGTTAGTGGGGACGTTGTTTGCTCTTTGGTACAGAGTCCTGATGACTCCTAACTTGTGCTCCAAAGGGTGATGGGAGTCACACTGCAAATACTGGTCTGTGTGGAAGGGTTTGTGGTACACTTCAGTTTGCAAATGTCCTCTATCAGAGACTGAGACCTCACTGTCCAAGAAAGCCAACTTGCCATTTTTTATATCTTCTCATGTGAACTTGATGTATTTATCCACAGAGTTGATGTGGTCAGTAAAATGTTGGACTTCCTGAGATTTAATTTTAACCCAGGTGTCATCATCAACATACCTGAACCAATGACTTGGTGGTGTCCCTGAAAAGGACGTCAAGGCTCTCTTTTCTACCTCCTCCATGTACAGGTTGGCAACAATAGGAGAAACTGGAGACCCCATAGCACACCCATGTTTCTGCCTATAATATTGCTCCCCATATGTGAAGTAGGTTGACTGCAGGCACAGTTTCAAGAGTTGACACAGTTGTTCTGTGGAAAGCATGGTCCTGCTGCTCAGAGTGGTGTCTGATTTTAGTCTTAAACTGTCCACCTCTACTGCATCATCAACAGGAATGCACGTAAAGAGGGATGCGACATCAAAAGAGACCATTGTTTCATCAGTCTCCATGATGACATCCCTCACCTTATTCACAAAGTCCATGGTGTTCTGTATGTGGTGTTCTGAGCTGCCAACTAAAGGGATGAGTACAGATGCCAGATATTTGGAAACATTATAAGGGACAGAGTTAATCATGATAACAATTGGTCTTAAAGGTACATCTTGTTTGTGATTTTTAGATAAACCATACAGACTAGGCATGGCCTCTCCTGGGTACAGTCTGTGGTACAGAAAATGGACAATAGCCTTGTCTTGTTCCAAAAATTTCAGGCAATCTAGCAACTTCTTCATGTAACCAATTCCTGGATCTCTTTTCAGAGATTCATATTAAGTCACTAAGGAGTGTCATAACTTTCTCATGATAGTCTTTCTGGTTCAAAATCACTGTGCACCTTCCTTTGTCTGCTGGGAGAATGATGATGTTTTTGTCCTTGCTAAGAGTGGTTAGCTGCAGGTGTTCAAGACACCCTATTTGGTGTTTCCAACATTAAAGAACCATGACCAAATGGATAGGATGTCTGTTCAAATGATGTTTGGTACCACAATGGTCTTCTGACTCCATTCCTGGGCCACCCCACCCCCCAGTTGGAGCGCTTGTGACAACATCTTCTAATGTAAAACCAAGGTCAGTTTTGTAAAAGCAAATCTGTATAAAAACGGTCAAAGCATAACAGATGCTTCTGTGTTTTACAGCGATGCCACTTCATGGGTTCGATGACTGGACACGTAAAATCATTATAAAATATTTGACCTTGATTTGTGACCTTGGAGCTGAGGAGATGAAAAGATTACATGACACTTCTTCTAGTGATGATGCAAATGTGTATGAAGTTTCATTAAATTATATTTCATCAGAAGTTATGGACAGGACAAAAGAAAGTTTATGGACAGGGAGTGCATCATGATATATCAGCCTTCAATGGGTGTATAAAAATTGTTTTAACCTCCTAAAACCCGAACTCTTGCATATGTGGATGTCAGGTTGTCCACATATGTGGATGCTAGGTCCTAGGAAGTTAATGTTTTTGGTTACTTAGCTTAAAAGTTAAGATATGCCTCCAAATCAGACCAAAAATGGACCTCATCTACATTTTTCATTGCTGTTTTACATATACCAGTGCCGCTGCCTCTTCGCCTCTTTGCACGTTCAGACTGACAAGTCTTCAGAGAGGCCACTGTAAATGAGGGAGAGCTGGATCTGGAGGAATACATATCTGCTGTCCTCAGATACATCAGCAAGTGTGATGATGTCACTACCACCAGGGCTGTGAAGTGCTACCCGAACCAGAAACACTGGCTGAACGCAGAGGTCCGTACCCTGCTGAAAGACAGGAATACTGCCTTCAGGTCTGGTGACTCACAGGGACTGGGGAGGGCAAGGAAAGGACTGGCTGCTAGAGGGCCAATGCAACATATGCACGGAAGGTCCAAGGACATTTCTCCTCACAAGACCCACGGAGCATGTGGAGGGACATTCAGTGCATCACAGACTATAAAAGCAGAGGTGCACAATGCCCTAGGGACCCATCACTGCCTGATGCTCTTAAGATGTTCTATGCCTGCTTTGAAGACCCAGATAGACCACCCAGCACCAGACTCACCTCACCATCTGAAGAGAAGTTCCTCAGATAAACCTCAGCAGAAGTAAGGAGGACTTTCAGGAGGATTAATCCTCACAAAGCAACTGGCCCAGACAACATCCCGGGGAGGGTGTTGTGAGACTGTTATCAGAGTCAGAGTTTCTTTATTGCCATTCGCACCTCATGTGGTACATGTGGTGGAGCGAAATTATGTACACAGGGTTCCAGTTACATCCAACAATAAAATGTAAAAGACAAACAATGATAACATCTAAGATATGAACTAAGAAAAACATCAACTAAATATACACTAAGCACTAATAGCATAAAAAACATTATGTTGAACATCAGCACAAACATGAACATGAGTCTGTGTAAGCAGATGAGCACAGATGAACACATCAACATTGAAACAGATCAGCAGCAGCATGATGTGATTTTTTTCACAGTGATTATTCTGGTTAGAGATTCATGAGTCTAACAGCCTCAGGGTAGAAGCTGTTCCTCAGTCTAGTGGTTCTACACTTAATGCTCCTCAACCTCCTTCCTGAGGGGAGTGGGGCAAAAGTGTGTGTGCTGGGTGAGAGGGGTCCTTCATGATGCAGGTGGCCCTCTTCCTGCATCTGGAGGTGTAGATGTCTGTGATGGTGGGGAAGCTGACTCCAACAGTCTTCTGTGCAACCTTCACCACTCTCTGCAAAGCTTTTCTTTCTGCAGCTGTGCAGCCTCCATGCCACACGTTGATGCTGGAGCACAGGATGCTCTCCACTGCACACCTGTAGAAGTAGGTGAGGACTGAGTTTCCCAATCCAGCTCGTCTCAGCCGCCTGAGGAAGTAGCCTCTCTGATGAGCTTTCTTGATCAGGCTGGTGTTGTTGCTCCAGCTGAGGTTGTCATTCATGTGTACACCCAAGTACTTGTAGCTGGAGACCACTTCCACCGCAGATCCTCTTATGTTGGGGGGGGGGGGGGGGGGGGGGGGGGAGGGGTTTGTTCCTTCTGAAGTCTACAATCATCTCCTTTGTCTTCTTCATGTTGATGTGAAGGTTATTCGCTTTGTACCAGCTCTCCAGGTGTTCCACGTCTTGCATGTAGCTGGACTCTTCATTGTTTGTGATGCATCCTACCACAGCTGTATCATCTGCAAACTTTACAATGTGACAGCCTGGATGGGTAGCTGAACAATCATATGAGAGCAAAGTAAACAGGAGGGGGCTCAACACATATCCCTATGATCAGCGTGCTGATCATAGGGATCATAATAGGGATGATCACAATCATCATCCCTATGATGATTATGATCAGCAATGCGAGGTGCTGGCTAATATATTTAACTCCTCCCCCACCCTGGCAACAGTTCCCACCTGCCTGAAGCCCACCACCATCATCTCAGTTCCTAAGAGCTCTACAGTGACTGGTCTGAATGACTATCAGCCAGTAACCCTCACCACAATAGACACTAAATGCTTTTAAAGACTGGTCATGACTAGGGGTTAAACAACTACATATTTTTAAAGTCGACTTTAACGTGATAAAAGACGAGTTGATGTCAACTAGTCTATGATGTCATAGGAACTCAAGATGCTATATCATATTTGCAACAACAAAAAAATATAGCAAAAAAACATAATTCATTATTTACATAAAAAAAGAACAACAAAACATCAGGCGTATATTTATGCTCCTACCATTTATCATACTGCAAATAAGTCAAAGGAAAAGCAAAACTATTATCAAGCTGCAGAAATGAAAGAAACGTGCGGTATGTAAAAGATAAGGCAGAGCGGGTGGTGATGAAGTTCACCACCGCCCGCCTTGCTGTTCTTAGCCTTATTTTTATTTAATCCATCACCATGGATTGGGTGGAATGGAACTGAGGGCAGTGGGGTGGGTGGTGG